CACAGCTCCTGCTCTGCCCAAACAGCCTCTGCCTTTTTGTCAACTACATTCCACAGACAGGTATTGTTGAATATTCCTGTGTAAGGAGCTGAAAGTTTGAGTAAAAACATGTTCAACAACAAGTCTATAACCAGAACACAACCCTACCACACTAAATCGTGTTTTAATTTGAATATATATACCCACATCTAAATTAATTAAGCAGTTAAAAGAGCACACCTAGAGAAATGAGTGATAATTTCACAGCATAATGAATCTGGCTTACATTCAGGAAGTGCAGCAGCTGCCATTCAAACCTCGGATGCAGTGCTGAACCAAAGAACAGCATGTGGTTTTAATCTCTTTTCTCTTACTTTGAAACCCCATCATTTCCTGGCGACTCGTCTGCCTCTAAGGTAAAAGGTGTTGTTGCTTTCAAGTTGCAAGAGAAAAACGGAGAAGTTCTAACCAGCCCCTTGAAAAAAATCAACATCAGAACAAACATACCTGAATTGCCCACAAAAAGGGTTTCTTTGAACTGTGTTTTATTGATCAAATAACCTCAGCCTGCTGCCTCCGTGGGGAAATCCTGCAGCCCCCGCTCCGGGCAGAGCAGGAGTTAACTCCAATAACGACCCTGCCTGAATCCAAACCCTCCCCAGGGCCCCAAACTAGCAATTACAGCCACAACCAATACCTGCACCACTGAAACACTCCGAAGACAAAGGGAGGATGTTGTTCTAGACATTAACCGCTGACATTTAAGACACTTAAGAATTTTACCAGTGCTTAATTCAAAAATAGAAACCCCAGAAGAAAGAACAGGACCACAAGGGTGATTTCTGGCAACAGGCAGAACAGATCATTTTAAATCTGTGCTGCCACAGCCTGGGATGATGCTACTGATGATGGACCTGAACTATGTTTGTGTGTTATATATTAAAATAACGTATGTTCAGAGTGATGGTTGGTGAGGAGGAGCAAATGGGCAAAACGTTACCTACAATTCTTGATTCTGAAGGACAAAAGCCCTACTAAAAATATTAAAAGTGTGTTTTCTGCAGAGAATCTGAACCTGGCTGCTGATGAGCACACAAACCACAGCAAACTGGGCAGAACAGGAGTTCTGAGCTCAGCACCCTGCTCTGCTCCCTGCACGTGTTTGCTTTAGAAACACCACTTCCCTGAGCCCATGAAGTGGGCTCAAAGTCCACCCAGGCCAGCTCTCTGTCCACTTGGGGATGTGCCTGTGCCAGGAGCCAGCCTGGGCTCTGCAGGGAGGCTTTTGCAATGCTCTGCACAGGCAGAAAGTCCCTGGCAAATGAAACCGGTCATTTTTTACCTATAAATTCATTTGTATCAAATCTGAGGTGTCAGCACCAAGCAGCAAGTCAGTAAATCCCATGTCTTTATGTCAGTGAATTAATGTGTCCTCTGACACATGGCAACAGCAGAGAACAAACCAATCTGTTCTCTTCCCACCATAAAATAGGGAATGGGAACCTATTAGAGCTCCATTTACACATTGCAAAGCCATCAGGTCCCAAGGGAAGTTTAACAACTTATACATGCAGATCATAAACCTAACTTTAAAAAAGAAATGGTGGGTATTTATAGAAAATGCCAACCCCATGACCACAATGCTTCCCCCCCCTGAGACTTGCTCAGAACTGCACACGGATAAAGATGAAGTCAAAGTCTATTTATTCAACAACCAGTTTTACCCCAGCTACGATATCTGGACAGATTAAAGGACTAAAGAATATTCTGTACTTCCAGTTCACGGTCAGACTGCACAAGTGCAGCACTCAGGAAAGGGCTGTGGGAAAAAGAGACAAATCAGAGGGGAGCACACCCAGCCTTACACAGGTACCCCAGTCAAGAATTCCATGGCAGATCTGCTCACCCTGGCTCCCCAGGACGCCACTGCCTGCCCGAGGGATAAAACTGCTGGATGGCTCCAGCCTGGCAGGATCTCACCCACCATCCTGGTGCTGCATGGGTGGCACAAGCTGCAGCACAAAGGACTAAGTCAGGCAAGCTTTGGTTCCCCAAACAGGCAGCAAAAACAGCTTCCAGCCTCACTGCAAGGAAGTCAAATGAGCTTTAATCAAACATGCACAGAGTGTGCTGCTGAAAGCCAGGGCACATAAATTCAGGAACAAAAGCTGCTGCAGAAATCAATAGCCTCCTGAAACATTAACACAGGCCAGCATTGATCAAAGGCCCTGGGACAAAAGGCTGCCTTGCAAATTAGCTGCTGGTTTTGCTTGCAAGCAAACACAGAGGCATGAGCTGGGACATGAATGGCCTGTAATGATCATTTTGCTCCCGGTGATCTCACCTCACCTCACCACAAGGTCTCGCAGTCAGCACATCCCACATCCCCGGTGTGGAGCTGGGGAGGGCTGGGGCAGCTGCTCCAAAGCTTTTTTTTGTGGCTACCAGACCATCCTCGGGGCCAGCCCTGCCCTGCCCTGCCCGCCTGCAGACACCCTGTCCTTCTCCTCTGGGGGCTCTGTGTGAATTGCCACAACACCCAAAAAAGCCAAGTGAAAGCAGCCTGGGCCACCCCTGAGTGATGCCCCTCGAAGGAGATGTGATTTATTCCTTAATTAGCAAGGGTGGAACCCCCAGGGTGACCGCACTGTGCCACATCCACGGAAGATCTGCTCATGCCCTCCCAAAGCAACTCCAAGACCCAACTTTTCCTTTTCCACCGGTCAGGGGAGAAGATTCCTTTCCCTTCCAGGATTCTTCCCTTGCTTCACTCAATACACCACCACCTCTGTTCTCCTGCACACACAGCCCCGTGTTTCCCTGTTAACACCTGATTTACTGTCCCAAACACACCTAAAGCAAAATGAGAAGCATTATTCATGGGGCTTTTCTTCAGGCCACATTTCCCTGAGAACACCAACATTCCCAAGTTTCACAAGGCAGAGGGGATTATGCTCCTCACTAAAAACACCAGTTCAGCTTTCCCCAATTCTGAAATACACCCCCAGCTCACGACTCGAGTCTCCTGCCTCCTCCTACCCAAGGCCATTTCACCCCACGCTGTAAGTGCATATAAAAAAGTCACACTTCATCTCCTTTTAGCTCCATTCTGCAGATTATTTGTGCAGAGGAAGCTGTGGCTGACATCCCTCTTGCAGGAGCTCGCAGAGGGGAGGTTTCTCTGCAATTCCCAGCTCTCACCTGCCCAAGCCAGCCCTGCTGCTCCAGCAGGGGACTGTCCTTGCCAGGGGCACTTGTCCCACTCCTTTCACTCTCCCCTGGTGTTCTTCCAGCCCAATCCTTCCCCCAGGCACATCACCCCCACCGGAGCAGCCTCTCTACCTGCATGCCCTCAGCAAGCCCTGCTTTCCTACTTCTTATCAGCAGTTTTTAAATGTAAAATGCACAGCCTGAGCTGTGCCCCGTGTTGGTGTTTAGTCCTGCCCTGGGTAAACAAAGGATTAAGGCTGGGTGTGCATCCCTGGCCAGGAAGGTTCTGACAGCCCTGCAGAGCACAGCTCCTGTGCAGGCCCATCACACACACACACACACATCAACTTCCCTTCAAGTATCTGTTAGGGTATAACACAGTGAGCAAACACAATAATTGCTGTTTAATTTCCCCAGAGCCGAGCTCTGCCAGGGAAAAAAAAAAAAAAATATCATGGGGGAGGGGAATAGCTTTGCAGTAATGAAAGAGAAAAGGTAAATGACAGCACTCCTCAATGGCTGTAAGCAGCCACGGCAGAGCAGAGGGGAACAGATTGTCCAGCTGTGGCCTTAATGAATTCACAATCTTTCTGGAATGCTTCAAGATTTTATTAAGTCAACTCAATTTAGCTAATACTCTTGTAAAGTCCTGCAGTGAAAACAGTGTCCAGTGCTTCCCTCTTCCACTGGATCCCCTGGCACAGGCTGGGCCCCAGCATCTGCTGCAGGGCAGGATCAGAACACGGGTTTGGATCATCAGAGTGAGGAACACAGCAGCAGTGCAGATAAAACTGACAACATCCATCCCTTCCATCACACCCCAAAGCTGCAAACACAAGGGGCTGCCCAGGGCACGGGTGGAATCACCATCCCAAACAGGTGTGTGGCACTTGGGGACACGGTTCAGTGTCACCACGGCAGGGCTGGGTTAAAGCCTGGACTCCATCCTGGAGGGCTCGTCCAGCCTTAACGATTCTATGGCTGGTTCTTCTTATG